ACCATCAGCTTTCTTCACCACATTTGCTTATTCACCCGCTTTGTCTTCAGCGGTTGTGTCAGGAAGGTGAGCATCATAGAATGCCAATTTAATAGAACAAAGTATTCTTGTGTTGAGGGAGTACTTGAGTGGAGGCTCCCTTATCTTTTCAAGAAACAAGTTTTTATTTCATTGACTTTCTCTATTGTTTTGCTCTTTTTATTTTAATATTGGTTTCCACCTTAGTATTTGTTCTTTTCTTCCTCTGCCTTGTTTGGGGTGTCCTTTTTGATTTCTGAAAGTAGAAGTTTAGGCTATTGGTTTGAAATTTCCCTTCTCTTCTAATATACTCATTGCAAGTACAAATTTCCCTTTGAACACTTATTATCTCATTACTTTAGGTGTGCTGATGTAATTGTCATTCCACTCAAAGTATTTCCTAATTGCCCTGGGGTTTCCTCTTAAACATGCATTCCTTAGAATTATGTTCAACTTCCAAATACTTTAGGATCTCCCAATTTTTCTTCTGTTGTTGACTTCTAATTAATCTCTGTTTTGTTTGGAAACATACTTCCTGTGATTTCAAGGTTCATAAGATTGGGACTTGTTTTTTAACCCAGCTTCTCTTCCCTGCACTTAAGAACGTATCTTCTGTTTTTGTTGTTGAGTATTCTGTGGAGGTCAGTTTGATTGAGCAGGTTAATGATGGCGTTCAGTAAGTCGTCTATATTCTTGGGGACGTTTCCAGGTTATTCTGTCCAGCATTGAGAGCGAGCTGCTATTGATGTCTCCACTTGTTTCCTTCTTTATTTCTGATGTTTTTGTTTCATGGAATTTTGAAGCTTTGTTGTTGGGGTGGACATGGTAATTGTTGCATCTTTTTCATGAATTGACCTTTAATCATTATAAAGTATCCCTTTTTGTGGATGGGTTTATGATATACCTTTCTTATATAAGCATAGCCAGCCCAGCTCTTATGGTTATTATTGACATAGACACAAATACCATGCACCCTGTTGATTCAGATGAAATCTGGTTAAAAAACAATTTAGAGGGCAATGTTTGAATGCAAAAAAAAAAAAAATCATGAGATCTGATAGGTATATCTCTTTGGTAATGCCAGGGTGCTTTGTACTTTCAACAACCATGCCCTTATACATCACGAATGTCCTCACTGAACGGTTAATGGTTTGAGGGGGGTCAGAGCAGAGACCCAAAACCCATCTGTAGACAATGGGACATCCCCTCACAGAAAGGTCACAAGGGAAGAATAAGTCAACCAGGGCTCAGCATAGCACCAATGAAACACGCAATATTCCTCTGGTTCCTTGAGGCTTCCTCACCCCCCACTATCATGACCCCAGTCCTGACTTTCAAAGCGGAATCCACACTAGCCAGCAATACCCATGCCTTTCTGGGGGTACATTGCAGCAGGTGTGCACATCAAGGGAACTGATAGTCCAGTCACTGGTTCTTGGACACACTGCACCTGGTCTCCAGGTGACGGGATTAAAATCTTTAAATGTGGCAACAGTGGGAAGAAAACAGACTCAAGGAACACCTACTAATATGGCCCATTCCCGCAAGGCCCCTTTCAAAACTAAGTTTTCTCTGATTTAGAAAGGCCAGGCAAGGGGACATGTGAGGCCTTGTGAAAGCAGAGCCAGTTGCACATGCTGTGTGAACTTAAAAAGCAGCCGTGCCTTTATGCACTAATTCAATATCTAGTGCAAAACCTCTCTGCAGTAGTCACTCTCTGTGGTTCTGGAAAGGAAGCTGGCTACTCTTGTCTCAACGATAAATGTCACAGGTTTCCCCCAGGGTTTCATATCATGCATGATAAAGTAGAGAGCCAGCAAAAAAGGAACGCCCTCAACAAGATGGATTGACATAATATCTGCAACAAGGGCTCCAACATCGGGATGGCTGAGGACGACATGGAACCAGGCCGTGTTTCATTCTGTGGTGCACAGGGTCACAGTGAGTCAGCGCCAACTCACCTGTGCTCAACACCAGTAACCACAGCCTAGATGCATACCACATACGTATGCCAAGCGTTCCCTGAAGATGAAATAAATTATTAGCTAAACCAAATGGAACACTTTCTAAACTAGCTCCTTCCAGCCTCATGACAGTCCGGAGGCAGGTACTATTACAACCCCATTTGACAGCGAGAGATAGGAAGGCCAGAGAGGGTAAGTAATTTGCCCAAAGTCACACAGGAATAAATTATAGAAGCATGGTTCTTACCCAGACTCTCTAGCAAGACCTCTGGGCATCAGAATTTTTTAAACCATAAAAGGTTATCCCATGGAGACACTGAGAATTGCGAATGGAAACCATTAGTTGAGAGGACACCACCAACAAAGGTCCGAGACGGAAACAGACTGAGTTGAGAGACCAACTAGTTAAAGGCCAGTCAAAGATATTTCAAATTTAGTTCTGATTGGGACTGCAAGAAAGACAGTGCTGTGACCAGGTCAGACCGCCAGCTGAAACGATATGAGAGCCGATAGGAATAAAGAAAGGTGAGGATGAAGAAAGTCAAGACCGGAGAGAAAGAAAAGGTAATTTGTAAGAGTCAACATGGGGGAGGGTCAAGAAAGCACTTAGGAGAAAACAATACAGGAAGAAGGATTACTTTCAAAGCCATCCCTTCTGAGAGCCATACACACTACACGCAACATTTCTAAAAAACAAAAGGAAACAAGTGGTTTCATGTTAATAATTCATTTTACTTAACATTCAAAATTTTGATCATTTCAGGATGTCGTCAATAGTAAAATCATTAACGAGCTATTTTACATTTCCTTTTTATACTAAGTTTTACGCTCACAGCCCCTCACAGTTCTAATCACTAGTCACATTCAAATGTCCTATAGCCTTAGGTGGCCAGTGGCTGCCATGTGGGACAGCATGGGTTTAAAGTTCAAATAGCCAGACTAGCAGATTGGTTTTTCGTTTTGATCATTTTACTGGGGGCTCTTATAGCCCTTATAACAAACAATCCACACATCAATTGTATCAATCACATTTGTACATATGTTGTCATCATCATTTTCAAAACATTTTTTCTTCTAGAGCCCTTGGTATCAGCTCCTCTTTATTCCCTCCCTCCCCCATCTTCCCACTCCCGTGAACCCTTGATAAATTATTATTATTTTCATATCTTACATCATCTCTATCTCCCTTCACCCATGTGTCTACTGTCATCCCACTTGTGGGAGGGGTTATACATTGATCATGGTAATCAGTTCCCCTTTTTTCTCTCTTCTCCCCCCACCCTCCTCCTACCCTCATGGTATCGCTACTCCCATTATTGTTCCTGAGGGGTTTATCTGTCCTGGATTCCATCTATACCAGTGTACATGTTCTGGTTTAGCCAGATTTGTAAGGTAGAACTGGGGTCATGATAGGTGGGGCGGGGGGGTGGGGGGGTCATTAAAGAACTAGAGGAAGGTTGTGTGTTGAAGTAAATGACTTTTGGCTCGATTTCAAGAGAGACTTAGTTTTTCTACTCTCAAATCAGCTCTTCAATGAATTGGGCCTACTACTTTTGCTTTTATTAAAACCCAATCTGGAAAAAGAAAAAAAGAAAGAGGACATGGGTAGTGGGGGAACAGGACCTTGACCACAACTAACAGCAGCTAATGGTGACAAGTTTTAATAATTTGTAATAGTGGCTGGGTTTCACAGTTGACTTGCAAACCTCCTGGAAATGTAATAACCAACTCTCCCAGCCGTTCCTGAATAGTGGTTCCCAGGGCTGTGACGCCCCTGTGTGTGTCTGGTATTTGGGCCTGATTCGTCCCTCACCCCCAGGTGAAGGTGCAAAAGCAGAAGCAGAGGACAGTGTCCCAGTTTGAGAAGTTCCGGCAGCTGCTGGCCGAGGAGGAGCTTCGGATCCTGCAGGAGCTGGAAGAGGAGGAGGTAGCGAAGAGACAGACGCTGAGGGAAGAGGAGCAGACCCTGGCCCAGCAGAGCCAGACAGTGCAGGAGCTCATCGCTGAGCTAGAGGGACGCAGTCAGCGCCCTGCCTTGGGGCTGCTCCAGGTGACTCCCTCCCCTGGGCAAGAGGTGGGGGCGGAGGGTGGTGGGGAGAGAGGGGCGGGGCAGGATAGCCTGCAGCCTCAGGCTGGCAGCATGTTCTTGGTTCTGGACCTCCCCCCCTCACGTGGAAGTGCAGCAGGCTGGGAGAAGAGCTTGCCTGCAGCCCATGAAAGGAGATGCGGGTATCTTTCTCCTCTGGCCCCAGAGCCCTCAGGCAGTAGGACAGTGTGTCCCAAGCATAGGGAACCCTATGCCCTAGTGGCCACACCCCTCCCTGAAGGTGACAGACCCAGCAGAGACTTTCCCAGCCAACCACGATTGCAACTCCAAGCTTTGTGTGATGTAACAAAATTACAAAAGCTGCTTTCTCGGTCCTTCACATGATTCAAAGGAGAACTATGGGTGATTCTCTAACCCAGCGCTTCTCAACCTTCCGAATGCCGTGACCCTTTAATACAGTTCCTCATGTTGTGGTGACACCCCACCCCCCTCCGGCAACCATAAAATCCTTTTTGTTGCTACTTCACAGCTGTCATTTTGCTACTGTTATGAATCGGGCGACCCCTGTGAAAGGGTTGTTCGACTTCCAAAGGGGTCTCGACCCACATGTTGAGAACCACTACTTCTAGGCAAATGTGTGTATTAGAATCTTAAAATAATAAAACTTTTAAATGTTGGCACAAATGGTTAAGCACTCAACTACTAGTGGAAAGGTTGGTGATTGTGAACTTCAGAGGCACCTTTGAAAAAAAGCTTATCTACTCCACACTCGTGGGATCCCCATGGGAAGACTCAATTGGCAACTAACAACAATCATCTTCTACTGCCCAAGTGCAGACAAGGTTTTGTGAATCATGTGCATATGTTTGTAACCTGAGATTGTGGGCTTGGCCAGGATTGCTTGGGGGGCCCCTGAAGAATGCCACCATATTCTCCCTGCTAACCCAGTGTCTTTGTTTTCTCCCCAGGGTCTAGGAGAGATTCTGAGCAGGTATGTGGCCCATGAAAGCTGAAGGGTGTGCTTCATAAATCCAGTGGTCCCTGTGTCTTGCTGGGCAAAAGGGTAGCAGACCATGTGCTTCTTCTAGGGTGGAACATCTGAAGCTTCAGACCCCGAAGGACATTCCCATGGAACTAAAGACGGTGTGCAAAGTCCCAGGGCTGGTAGACACACTGCGGAGATTCCAGGGTAAGGAGGGTGTGGGTTGTGCTGTAGGATTCCCTGGCTAGCAAAAACAGCGAAGCACTCCCGTAATCACTGAAAGGTTGGAGGTTTGAACCCACCCCGAAGCATGCACGACAGGCCTGGCGAGCTGCTTCCGAAAGGTCAGCCTGGAACAGCCTGTGGAGCAGCTCTGTGCTGCACACACGTTGCCACAATGACTTGGGGTCAACGTGGTGGCAAGTCACCACCAGCACCAGCGTGTGTGTGGGCACTCCAGGAGCAGCTCACCAGCCCTCTCTGTGCACTGAGTTTCTGTGGAACGCTTTCCCAGAGAGCCCAGCCTTGACCTTTAGAGTGAGGCCATCTTCAAGGTGTGAGTTCAAGGAAGCGCTACTTGCCATCCTTTCATGTCTGCACATCATTTCCCCCTGCGGCCTGTTCTCCCTCAAGTGTAGCCAGACACGGCCTGTATCATGGAGTCCCCTGGCTCTGAGATGACCGGAGCTCTTGGAATAATGAGAAGGAAAAAAAAAGGAGGGGAGGAGAATGTTCTTTTCGAGGTCTGTTTTCATTGTTCCTGTAACTATTAGGCATACAGTTACAATTCGCTCTTCATAAGATTGTCGTGCCCCACCCTGGCCTCGCTTACTCTCTGTGTGACAATGTGCAGTCTGGTGGTTGGCACAGTCCCTGAACACATCCGCTCAGGAAAGGTGCTGTCTCATTAAGAGGAGCGACCACTCCCGGGTTGGAGAAAGGCCCTGCCGGGGTGGTGACAACTGGAAGTGTCTCCTGAAGACCACAGCGGCCCTCTTGAAGGCCAAGCCCAATGGCATCTTGTTCTCTTCCCCCCCCCTTTTTTTTTGGAAAACTTCCCACCACGGACGTATGGCCAAAGAATGCCAGTGGACTCCATTTATTTTCCACGCCCATTGTTTCGTCATCAGAGCCCAGGTGCTCTCTGTGGCATTTAACCTTTGCTCTCTTCTCCCGCTCATACCCTCCTGCCCCGAGAGCACCCTCCACTCCATCCCAGCTGTCACTCCCACTCTTTTCTCTGCACACCCCCTCCCACGGAAACCCCTCCTTCCCATCCTGGCTGCCCATGCCCACTCCCACCCCAGAATCCATCTTGTCCTCGGGCCAGCCCCGGTTGTTAGGGGACTTTGCGGTGACCGTGGCCTGTGAGTGCCCACCTCCTTTCATAGATGCGGTGCCACATTGCACTCCCTCATCAGGGCTCCCAAGTCTAGAGTTCTCCATCAGCCGGCATCTTTTCCCAGATGCGCAGCCTTTGAAAGGCACGGTGCAAGGACATCTCCACCGACATCAGGGTGAGCCTAGCTCTCCGTGTGTGGGGCTGAGCCGTCCTCAATTGGAGCAGCAGCTTTCCGTGGGAAGAAGTCGTTCCAATACTGAGCAGAAAGGGCTCCAACCTTGAACGAATGGTTCCTGCGAGTGGCGTGCTGTGACCAATCCTTCTCCTGTGTAATTGCAGTGGTGGTGACCCTGGACCCCGAGAGCATGCACCCCTCCCTCACCCTATCCAAGGACCGGAAGACGGTGCTGCAAGTCCAGCCCTGGCGTGTCCAGCCTGGTATGGAGTCGCTGGGTGGAAGCTTCCCCAGTGTCCTGGGCTCCCCGTGCCTGTCTGCGGGCAGACACTACTGGGAGGTGGAGGTGAAAGAGGGAGGAAACTGGCTCCTTGGCGTGTGTAAAGAGGACGCGGACAGGAAGGACTCTCCTAATTGGAGCCCTGACTGCGGGTTCTGGTGCATGGGGGACCTTATTCCTACAGGTGCCTTAAGTCCTCAGAAAACATCTCACACCAGGATTGGGATTTTCCTGGACTATGAGGCTGGGGAGCTCTCTTTGTACAACGTGAACGATGAAACCTCCATCTACACCTTCGCCCAGGCTTGCTTTACAGGGGCGCTGCGGCCCGTCTTCTTCATACCGTCCTGGTGCCAGACCTGTCTGACGATCTGTTCCCGACCAGGCGGTGCTGCCGCGGTCTCGCCCTCTGCCGAGGGGGGGAAGCCTTTGGCGGCCTCTCTGAGGGGCTCATCAAAGCCCTCTCTGTTTGTGTTTGGCGATGCCTCTGCCTCCAGTGCCAGCCCCTTCCCAGCTGGATCTCCTAGCTCAGAGCAGCCCCAGAAGGAAGAGGGGCATGCTGGAAGAAGCCATTAGGGGATCTGTCCAATTGCATCTCCCCTCAGCAGATTGCTAACCTTGCTCAGCTATTTGCTCCAGCTAAGCTCATTTCTTCTTTGATGCTACTTCTGCCTACTCTGAATCAGGAGAGTATGGTGGCCTCACAGGCGCGAACCTGCCAACACAGGTGCTGGGTGGCTGAGGTCATACCAAGGCCCGAAGCGGGTGGGAGAAAGGAGTTGATGAGCCCTGGTATTGAGTCACACCCAGAGAAGGAAAAGGCGGCCACGTGACCACCACACTGGCCCAGGCCGGCTGGAGGGCTGCCTTCCACTCTGTGCTCCACATCCCAGGAGGAGCATGGACAGTTCAGAGGAAGGGGACCAGGGAAGTAGGGAGTGGGATGTTTAACCAGGAGACGAAACGTTGTGGGTGGAAGACAGGACTTCGCATTCCATTAAGGGCGAGCTTCCCCAGCGCTAAAGGAAGCTTCACTCTGACACCAGAGAGAGTGCAGTTCATGAATGTTGTGAGATTTCTCAGACCCAACACCCCCTTTCCTAACAAGGATTCCATGTGTCTCTGCTATCAAAAATGAAAATCATTAGATAAAAAAAATCCTCCCTACACACATAACTCAAATCATTGTGAATCCTACCTGTAATATAAAGAAGAAATAACCAAGTGTTCTAGAAAGAAGAATGTGTTTCCGAGCACAGCTGCGCCGGAGGCTTACCCGAGACAGAAGAAACAAACTCCTGTCTGTGACTAACCGAACCTCACCTGTGCACTGTGAACCTCTGTGTGCATGGACTGTAGCCACAAGCACTGGCTGAGACAGAGCCCCTGAGCGCCGCTGATCCAAGCAGTGTCGCCTTTCCTAATGCGCTTTTCTGAGATGATGACTGCTCGGTCACATTCCAACCTAAACAGAACAGTGTTTTGTTTTGTTTTTCCCAACCAGTACACCCACTCCTAGCTTCCTGACACGGTTAGGTTCTAAAGACCAAGTTGTTTATGCAAAAATCAGTGTCATGTGACAGTTGAGTGTGATCCCATCAGATCACAGAAAGGATGACTGGGTCATTTCACAATCACCAATTTGCATCATCTCACAACTTGCGAGCCTGAGCGTCATGGCCCAGCCAAGGTGACACAGGACCTCCTCATCGCAGCCAGCATTACGCGCACCGTGCACCTCCACATTCATTTCTACCGGATGTACACTGTTAATATGCAAAATAGATTTTTACTGTGGTCATAACTATGGAATATCAGATAATAAAAAGTTGATAAGTAAGAAGTAGATGTAATTGTGTTCCTTATAAAAGCCACACAAATAATTCTGTGCGTACGTAAAACAGCCGGGGCTCAAATCACTAAGCAGGCTCCGGCCCTAAATGGATGTCAGAATCCAGTCTCTTTGTGGCACTGTCCCGTTCATCGTGGGGTGTGGTGCTAGCCACCATGCTTAGTAGCTTCTCAGTGACTGCAGACCCTCAGGCATCCCCTCCTGGGTTCTCCAAACTGAAAACCCCAGAGTTGCAGTGACCCCTTAGAGCCTTGTCTCAGGTAGGAATGCTTGAACACAGAATGCACTTCACATGGGAAAGGGAACCCTGCATTTGGAAGCGCCCTTAAAGGAAACCACACCTTGCCCTCTGTGCAGTAAAAGATTAACCTACCCAAAGAAAGGTATGACTCTTTGCCCCCTTCTCCCAGGAGGTAACTAACCTTCGAGCCTTCAGAGTATATTGCCTATTAAAAATGACTGTGTACTTGGGGACTTTGGGTCACACCAAACTGTTGACAATATGGGAGACTTGGGTTACATGGTATCAGTAACCCAAGTCAGTGACATGTGGAATGGTGATGCCAGGTGTCGAACTCTAATCAACTCTCTGGGCACCAAATCTGGGTGAGCTCCCATTGTTGGCAGTACTCCGTGTGTATGTCACACATTTTTCCCAAGAAAAGTACAACGCTCCTGGGAGAGTCCAACCGAGAGCTCTCAGTCTCCTGGGCCCTGCCCTGAGCTCCTTTGTCCTTTGTTGGTTTTTTAAATCTGCCCTTTCACTGCCATAAACCATAACCATGAGTGTAACTAGCTCTGAGTTCTGAGTCCTAGAGAATCATTGCCCCTGAACTTGGTCTTAGGAACCTTGAACTGCATTCGCTTTCCCCTGGCCTCTACTCACACTGAGCTCTGAGCCCAGGAGGCAGCACCTTCCATTCCCAAACACCTCTTAGAAAGGCTCCCCCATCCTCCACCCCTCATTCTGCGCTGACATCACTTCCATCTGAAATGCCGTTCCTTCTTGGAAGTCTGCTTTGTGCTCCAGCTCCTCTACCTCCGGGCCTGCCCCACGCCTGGGAAAGGAAACGGCGGTGGTCCATGAGCAGCCCCTCTTTACTCTCAGGAAAGGAAAGCCTGACCCTTCAAATGAAATGACTGCTTTGATTGTAGGAGGCGAACTAAGCATTTGTAAGTGGAAAACTGGTTTTAAAATGCCAGACACTTCTTTTCTCTAAAACTGGTTCCATTCCATTTTAATTTGTAGTCTTCATTAAATCAAATATAAAGCATAGAGAAAGGAGAAGGGAAGAGGAAGAAAAGAGGGGAGTGATAACTTGTCACCGGTGAGGAAGGAGATGGCCCGTAGTATGCTTGTATGTTTTGAATCTAAAATCAGGCTACCTAGCCTAGGGTTATGAAAATACTTCAGGGAGTCTGCTATGGATTGAATTCTCTCCTCCCTAAATGTATGGTGGATCTGCATCCCCATATATAGATGGTGGTAATACCATTTGGGAATGGGCTTTTCTTTATGATAATGAGGCCCAAACAACGCAGCGTGTATCTTAAACCTAACGACTTGAGATGTAAAAGGCAGATTTGACAGAGACAAGTCTGCACAAACGGAGAAAAGGTCAATGCCACATGGAGATGGCAAAGGACTTGAACAAAACTGAAAGAAAGATTTTTTTTCCCCCAATGCAGGTTGATTTGAATTCAGGCACTTAGCCTCCTAATCTGTGAAACAATATATTTGTATTTTTGTGATGGCAGCACTAGCAAACTAAGAGTTCAATACCATACTTGATATCATCATAAACGAACAACACCCCCCCCCACCAACTCACTGCCATTGAGTCAATGCTGATTCATAGCAATCCTAGAACAAGGTAGAATTGCCCACGTGAGTTTTCAAGACTGTAATTCTCTCTTTTTTAAAAGCAGTTTTATTAGCACTTCATCCACACGCACGTCATACAACTCAATAGAGACTCTCACACTTTATGAGAGTGGAAAGCCTGGTCTTTCTCCCAAGGAGCAGCTGGTGATTTTGAACCACAGACCTTTTGAATTGCTGCCCCAGGCTGAACCACTCTGCCACCAGTGCTCCGCACCTTGAAAATGATCATGGAAATGTTTCTTTTTTTTCTCACTGTAGTTCGTGCTCTCCTGTCATACTATCTTATACTCACTTTTAAAAGTACTCTTCCTGGCCCAATGACCTGAGTAATGGGTTCCTGTAGGCCCCATCTTATCCATCTCTCTTTCATTTCTGGCCACCCCAGTATGCATCACTGCTGTACCTCATTGCAAAATGGATTCATTATGATCGGAAACTTCTGACTTGTTTGCTTTTTTCTAGACTGTCCAAACCTGATTTTTTTGTTTGTTTTTGTTTTAAAGTTCCATTGTGTCACTGTGCCCTCCAGGCTCGCCTGCAGTGACCTCGGGAAATTTCTAAAGTGAGGGAGCCTCGGGCACCAGCAGCAGTCCCACCCGTTCAGCTCCGCAGTCACTCCATGACTGTCCGCTTCCCCCTCCCTTCACACTTGGAGCCATGTATTCAAGGAGCCTCCTGCTAGGTGGCTTCCCACAGGAGCTTTCCCTGGGCGCCCGCCGGCTCATCCAGGCTTTGGGCATTGTACACACAGCCTTCCTAGTTCTCCTCCTGGTGAACCCAGAGAACTTAGCGAAGGAGAGAACCTCAGGACTCTTCTCTTGTGTGAGTCCTAATACAAAGCAAGGTTGGCGACTGCCCTCAATTGAATTGTGTCCTCCGAAAGTACATGTTGTAAATCCAACCTCCTATTTGTGGATGCAATCCCATCTTGGCTAAGGGTTTTCTTTGTTGAATGAATGACTCACACCAGGGTGGGATGTCTTTAACCAATGATTTCTGAGACATTAGAAAAAGAACAACAAGGAGCAGATGAGTCACCGGAAGCTAGGAAGTCCAGATGGGGGTGAGAGATGCCAGACCAAGGGACAGAGGAAAAAGCTGAAACGAAACAAGGGCCTCCCCCCAGAGTGAACAGAGAAGAGGCCTTCCCCTAGGGTCTGCACTCCTGAACTATAAGAAATTGTTTTTGTTCTTAAAGACACACGCTTGTATTTCTGTTAGAGAAGCCTCAGATAACTTTGTAAGCATAAAAACAATTTTTAAGACAGGGACTTAAAAATGAAGCGAACCACGTGCCATGAAGCTTCCAGAGGTGTCCTATGTGTTCAGGTTTAGCTGCGCCAGTCCACCACGATCATGACCCACACTGTCGAATGCCTTTGCATAGTCAATGAGACACAAGGAAACATCTTTTTCACACTTTTAGCCACGACCCATCGAATGTCAGCAATGATAACCCTCATTCTGTGTCCTCTGTGGAATCCAGCCTGAACCCCTGGCAGCTTCCTCTGCAGTTAGAGACCTAATTTTTTTTTTTTAAATCATTTTGTTAAGGGCTCATACAACTCTTATCACAATCTATACATACATCAATTGTGTAAAGCGCATTTGTACATTCATTTCCTCTCCACTTAAGCCCCCGACATTAGGTCCTCATTTTTCCCCCTCCCTAGAGACCTAATTTTGCGAACACCATTTGTTGGAAGAGACTCTCTCTCTCCCACTTATTGTTTTTTGGCCCTTTGATGAAGGTCCGTTGTTTGTAGGCGGATGGATTTCTTTGGATTTTCTATTCTGTTCCATTGGTGTCTGTATCTCTCATCGTAGTAGCACTGGACTGTTTTGACTCCTGTGGCTCTGTACTCGCTTTTGAGATTGAGTAGGAGTGAGAGACCCATACTCTCCTGTTCCAGAGGGACCTACGCCAGGCCCTGACCTACAGCCGACCTGAGGTGGTGAAGGCCGGTGGTGAGGATCATCCAGCAATGCTTGCAACAGTACATTCACAGGGAGCTGCCGGAAGTTCAGGCCAGATTCAGAGGACATAGAACAAGGGGTATCACTGCCGATGTCAGGTGGATTTGGGCTCACAGCAGAGCGTACAGGAGGCGTTGACTATGCTGAGACATTTGACTGTGTGGAGCATACAAACTGGATAGCCTTGAGAAGATCATTTCACAACACTTCATTGTGCTCAGGTGGAAACGGACCGAGAGGTAATTGTATGAACAGAAAAAGGGAATAGTGCGTGGTTTAAAATCAAGAAAGGTGTGCTTTAAGGTTGTATCCTCTCACTGTAATTATTCAATCTGCATACTGAGCAATAAGAAATCAGAGAAGCTGAATTCTATGAAGAACAACTCAGTATCAGGATTGAAGGAAGGGTTATTAACAAACTGTGATATACAGATGATAACAACTTTCCTTGCTGAAAATGAAGAGGCCTTGAATCACTTTCTCATGATGATCAAGGATTGTACCCTTCAATTTGGATTGTAATCCATATTGAAAACGGTAATCCATATTATAAGAAAAATCCTCAATGTAAGGAAAACCAAAATCCTCCCAACTGGACCAACAGGTACCATCATGAAAAACGGAGACAAGATGGACGTGGTGAAGGATTTTGTCCTACTTAGATCCACAATCAATGGTCATGGACACAGCAGTCGAGATCGAAGGAAGCCTTGTATTGGGTAAGTCGGTTGGTTGCACAAGACCTCACTGAAGTGTTGAGCCAGGATGTTAACTTTTGAGGAGTAAGCTGTGCCTGACCCAGCCAGGGCATTTTCTATGGTCTCATACGTAGGTGAAAGTTGAGCCTTGAACAAGCAATACCAGAGAAGAATCTATGCATTCAAATTGTGGTGCCGGTGAAGAATAATGAATGTGCCACACACTGTCAAAAGAACAAACAAATATGTCTTGGGAGAAGGACGGCCTAAAATATTCTTTGGATGTGTGATCAGGAGGAACCTTATCCAGAAAACATCACGCTTGGTAAAGTTGAGGGGCAAGAGACGGAGGAAGATCCTTGATTTGATGGACTGACACAATGGCTGCATCAATGGGCTCGAACGTAAGAAGAACCTTAAGGAGGGCACCGGAC